ATATAGAAGAAAATGTGGCCACAAATAGCCACTGAGTCTTTTGCACCATTAGGAATGTATGGAGACCCTTTGCATAGTATAGTCTGAAAAATCATGGGGAAGTATTCTGATTATCCAAGCTTGGGTCAGCAGTCCTGGATCAATCCACCATGACCAAGATACAAGGCCAAATAGTATGGACAAAGCCACTTCATATATGCATTTGTAGGAACCATTCTTAGAAAAGATGTTATTATGAGTCAGATATCTACTATTGGTGTCTGGTATAGTCTTAAAAGAGCTGAGTTGAGGAACAGAGCCCAGTGGAGTGGCAATGCTTTATAGAGGAATAAATAATCTATTTCCTTACTTTCTAAGCCAGGACAGTCATTATTAACTATCTCTGACTGACCATGATCTTTCCATTTATAAAATATTTGCCTTTATAAGAGAGAGACTTATATGTTGGGTTTTTTAATATTTTCATATTTCTAGAGACTAGAATTTTGACACTATGATGTGATGCTTTTAAACCCAGTATGTTTATATGAATGTTGAGTACTTCTGCAAAAGCTAGTGTTCTATCACTAACATTTATAGTAAGTAGCTGAAAGCATTTGGCATAAAACCTAATTTGAAATTATAAAAGGTAATTTAATTGTGGGATCTAAGACAAAGTAGCTGGAAATTTGCAGAATAGAAGAAGAGGAAGAGGAAGAGGAAGCAGCAGCAGAAGTAGCAGCAGTAGCAGAAGCAGCAGCAGCTTGTACTTTCTTTCATAGTTGTCCAGAACTGCATGCATGTGTGTAAACATTAGAGACATGATAAAGGGTTTACTGGAGACTCACTCATTGGGAAGAAAAATGTCAGGGTATGGAAAAAGTTAACCACTTAATTAGGAGAAACTGTTTTAAAAAATATATCCAGAACCAGATTCCCCCTGTCTATGTCTATAGATACGCTTCCAGGTCATTAAAAATATAGAATACAAAGATCTGTTTTAGAATGAAAAAGAATAAGGGTAAATTGCTTGAAGCAAAGAGATAATAGGCGATACTAAATTAGCAAGGGTAAAATAACCTGGGTAAGATTTTACAATCTTATAAATGGTCCTTTGATATATATTCCAGGGAACAGAGAGCATCCCTGGGTATTAAACTATCCCACAGGGCAGTCAAATATGTTCTGATAGTATATATAATCTATATTTAAGTCATTATTCTAGTGAACCTAAGACTTTTTAGAGTTCTAATTATGCCATGGCATACTTCAGAATACTATGCTTTGTGGCCTGCTTTGCAAACGTGATTTAACCCCCATTACCTTGATTTGTCAGTGTATCTAGGCCCAGTAACATTTAAGATAGTATTGTCTGTTGATGCTTGATTGGGTAGTAGAGAGTATTTTTCAAAGCAAAAGCTCGGTAATTAGAAATCTTGTGAACATTTATATATGGTTGAAGGAGAAGGTCATTTCATGAGAAGATGGCATCGTTTAGTGTCTGCATTAGCCATTCGTTTTGTTACTGAAAACTTAACACACGCAAAGTTCAGCCCATGATGGTACATAGTGTTAAGCCATAGGATGAGGAAGAGCTAAATCATGAAAAAAAGTCCTGATTACCCTTTGGACACATGACTGCCTGGAATAGTCAACATTTCCCATTAACCTTGTAACTAAGTGTTACCAGCTCACATTTCTGAGGATAGAATAAAAGGGAAAATGGTATATGCAACTTTAGAAAAATGTTTTCTGGTGTGAGTAAGCCTTTGTTTTTCTTCCTTTGCTTCTTTGCTCTTGCAATGTAGGCATGATTACTAGAACTGGAATTGAGACTAAAGGTCACAGGTGCCTGAGCAAGAAGACAGAGGTGTCTGTTTCACTTCCTGATGTTTTGGAAGGCCAGAGCAGTGCTTGGATCACCAACTGCAGACTTTCATTTGAAAAATAAACTTCTATCTTGTTTAGGTTGCTGTTATTTTGTGTTTCTGTTGCTCACAGACAAAATGAATCCTTGTTAATGTAAAATGTACGAATCATCTTTAAAAATAATTTTTTGCTTTAACCAACTTTTTTTCACATTAACTAACTACCAATTCCAATCAGATAAGAGGCTTTTACTGAGTATGAAAAAACAAAATCGCTATGAATATCTACATACCTTACATACTTACTCCCCTTACATAACAATTATGACTGAGATGTATGTCATTGTATAAAATCCTTATCCATACCTGTTTTTTTTTTTTCCTGTAGAAGGGATATCTGAAAGTAGAAACACTGAATTAATGATGTATATATTCTATAAGGCAGTTGATATATACTGTCAATGTTCTTTCTAGAAAATTATGTCAGCGTACATAGTAGCATGCCTGTCTCAATATACTTTTGTTAGAATTCAGTAGTAGGGCACTGTTACTTTTCAGTTAATTTCATGGGTGAAACATGAAGAATCTGATGGCTGTATATATTTTTATATATTTGGGTTTGTATAAGTAGAACATATTTCCTTATATTTATTGACCATTTGTATTTACTGTGAACAGATTATCTATGTTCTTTACTAACTTTCATGTCATTGGAGATCTTACTATATTTCTTATTAATTTGAAAAGAGTTTTTGGTCAGAAAATTTAGTAGTTATTAAAATATTTTAATTTTAGTCATCCAATTTGATTGGATATTTAGATTTTTTAAAATTTTGGGACGTTCCTTTCAATTTGGTAAATATTGATTTTTTATTTAACTTTAATGGAGTTAAAGTGACATCTTTTTTCAAAAACTACTCTAGCACACAGAGTTACTGTGTATAATAGCATCTTTTCTCAAATATCCGTGATGCTATCTTGTCTCTGAATAGAGGGTGTTAAATATACTTGTATTGAAAACAGGGCACATAATTTACTTGGTTTTATTTTTGAGGAAGGTTCACCTTAGAAAAATATCGGCAAGAGTGAAGAATTTCCTGGCAATAATGTAGGACATTATATCTTAAATCAAATATGAAAGACTATGCTCATCAGATTAAAAATGACACTAAAGTATGAAGTTTGAGTATAAAAATAGGTAGCTGCTATAAAAATTGCTATCCTAACATTTGGTTAAATCATATAAAAAATTAACTTATTCTCTTTTCCTGCTTTTCTTTAACCATAAGTTATTTTTAATCGCTTTTATTTTTTTCCTATTTGGTTCTTTTCCCATCATTACTCTGTTTTGTTTTGTTTTTTTTTAAATCTTATTTGTGGTTAACTCCTTTAGAATCACACATTTAACTTAAATGTTTACTTTTTAGCTAATGTTTCATATTTAATTATTTAACTTAATATGGTTAGTTTTCAGTTAATATGTTTCATATATTGATAAATATATTAATTCCATTTTGAAATTCCATCCCTTTTCCATATCCTTCCACATTTGTCAAGTTGTGAGAAATTTGATTCTAAAAAACTGGTCTCTAGTTCCTGTTTATATTTCTGCTGCTACTAGTAATAACGATTAATATCTATACAGCACCTTTCATTGTGCATTCCATTATTTAATATTTTTTTGCATTCATTTGGAAGATGAATTGAGTAGTTTCCATTTTGCCTACTTTACAAATAAGAGACTCTTGTCACAATTGGCTAGTGTCTACTCTTTCCAAAATTATTTAAGTAACAAGAGACTCCAGATGTCAGTTTATATTTTCGTTAAGTAGTCAGGAGAGTTTCTGGATGCTCCATATTAGACAAATTCAAGTAGCCTAACTTGAGCCTGTGAAAATCTAGTTAGTCAGAACTCAGCAATATCATTAAACCCCCTCCCATTTTTTTTTAAAGGAATTACAATGTGCAAAGTACTGTAGATACAGAGTAAAATAATGTTACACAGATGATTACAATTTGGAATTTTCATTCAAGGAAGATCTTATAAACTGAGGATGAATACAGACAAGCAACTATTTTCAAAAAAAACATGAAAAAAAAGTAGAATGAAATAGGTGTTATTGTAGAGATATCACCAAAGTGCTATGGGAATATAATGGAAGGGGTGATGATTTTGATTGGATTTGATGAGAAAAGGCTTCTTGGAGTAGTTGGCACTGGAATTGAGATTGAAGAATGAATGAGATTTTTATAGTCTCTTGTATTGGGTATGGTCTGTTAATTCTAATGAGGTTTTAGGTTCTTCGGATATGCTGAGGTTGAAGTTACCTCCTTAAGAGCTCTGGGAGGGTATTAGATCATTCTGAATATAAACATCCCAATACAATTTGGGTATAATGTACTTATTGGATGCATATAGTTTCTCTCATAATCATAACTCGAATTTACTGATAGGGAAAACAACATCATATCCATTTGAAATCATGAAATTTTAGAGCAGGAAAAGACCTTAGAAATTACCTATTTAACCCTCTTATTTAAAGAAGAAGGCACAAAGAGTCAGTAATTGACCAAGGTCACTCAGTTAACTTGAGCAGACATTTCCTCTATCAGAAGGTATTACTTTGGAATCGGCACCTTCCTATATCCATTATGGTAATTTTTATTGATGTTATGAAATAAAATCATTGAATCCTCACATCCGATTTTCAGAGAAGGATACTTTAAAGTCTGCAATGAACTTGTACATTGAGGTAAGTTTGAAGAACAGAAAATGAACCAAAGGCAGTAAACACGCTGGACTCGATACCTGCACAATGAAAATATGAAATAATCTGCACCTAGCAGGACTTTCAATCTTTTACTCACCTGGGGTGGAGTGGAGGACGAGATGAGAGAGAGAGAGAGAGAGAGAGAGAGAGCGAGCGCGAGCGCGAGAGCGCAGAGCGTGTCTCAAAGCCGCGAGGAGAGGTACCCTTTGTTTGACAAACCCTGAAAGGGAAGCCTCTTGTAGCAGCCCTTTCGTTCCCACCTCCAAGCGTTTGCTGAGCTGCTAGGTGGAGCCCGCGCGGTGGAGCCCGAGCGAACTCCAGATCCGGGTTTTGCTTGCCACCCCCTTCCCCCGGCGCGAGCCCCCTCCCCTGCTCTCGTCGCTCTTGGAGCTCGTCTGCCGGCGGCTCATTCTGGCCTTGGCTTCGGCCCCGGCTACGTCCGCCGAGCGCAGGCTGCACCGCCCCGGCGTACCCGCTCTCCGGCAGGCTCTCGGCGCGTCGCGCGGTCGCCTGCTTGCCCAGCACCTCTTGCCCCAGTTCCCAGGAGCGGGGATGCAGATGCTGCTAATGGTCCGGGTGGGCGCCGCTGCTGCCGCTGCTGGCTTTCCCGGGACTGCTTGTTGCCTCCGCTCCGGCAGCTGCTGCTGCTGCCTGTGACTCGCCCCCTCCCTTTTCTTTCTTCTCTTTTTGCCTCCGTCCTCTTTCTCTGGTTGTGCGCGCGCGCGGGTTGCACGGTTTGCTTTGGCAGGAGCTCTCTCGTGTGTGCGCGTGTGAGTGTGCGTGTCTGGAGAGCGCCAGAGCCTTGCTCGCTCTCTGGGAGTCGAAGAAGAGAAAGAACCGAAGAGGCGGCGGCGGCGGCGCGGAGCCTGGGGCCGCGCAATGAAGCTCCCACATGCCCGCAGCTGCCGGGTCCGGCCGGCGAGCTAATCAGCCAACCCCCGGGCTTGGGGCTCTGCGGCCCCCGGGACGCAGCCCTCAGCTGCCCGGCGCCGGCTCCGCCTGCGCGCCCCAGCTGTGCACTGGGGAAGGAGTTTGCGTGGCCCTCGCTCCCGGTCTCAGCACAGGGTGCGGACACCAGAGGAGACTCTCAGCTGGGAGAGAACCTCGGGAGAAGAAGAAAGAGGAGGGTTTGGCGGAGAAGAACCCACCCCTGGCCCTCGTGGCTGCCCCTACCTATTCCATCGATCTCGCTTCCAGACGGAAAGGAGAGGGAAAGGAAGAAGAAGAAAAAGAAAGAGAAGGGGGTGGGGTGGGAGAACTGGATATAAAGACCGGCTGGGGGGATGGTGGAAGATTTTTGGTCTCTTCAGCAGCGTCTTTTCTTAAGCGGCGGCGGCGGCGGCAGCAGCAGCAACAGCAGCAGCAGCAGCAGCAGCAGCAGCAGCAGAAGCAGAAGCAGAAGCAGCCCCAGCTATGACTGCCGCATGTTAATAGCTGCCGCTCGGGTCCCTCGGCTGCTGCTGGAGACAGAGCCTGACTCCGAAGTTGTGCAACTGTGGACTGGGAGAGACATTTGAACCCTCCTCTCTCTTGGCTCCGTTTTTACCCCTTCAGTGCGTGTGAAGATAGGAAACGTAAAGGAAGACGAGCATTTGGTTCTTCTTCTTTTTTTTTTTTTTTTCCCTTCCCCTTTCTCCGTGGCTGTGTAGCAGAAGAAAAGGAGGAAAGAGAGACTTTTTGTTGTTTCCTTGGCTGGGGTATCCACCCTCCTGCTGCCTCTCTGAGCTTTGGTTATCATCCTTTGCCGCGTGTGGTGGGGGTGTCTTCACTGGGGCCGGTCGGTATTTTGCCCCGGGCTCTATGGCTGGATTGTGGAAACTGCACCCGGCTGCAGGTTGTTGAGCAACTGATGGGACAATCTCAGGGACCGGCGGTTACGAAAGGTAATTCTTCTCACTCTTCCTAATAGTGGTGGCCGGCGTCTGCCGGGCGGGCAACCGGGGAGTTGCAGAATTCACGCACACTCAACCTCCCACTCACACATTCGCCCACACACACACACTCATCTGATTGTGATGCGGGGCGTGAAGGGAGCCTCCTGCCTGGTGAGCCCTGGGGTTTGGCACGGGTTCGAGGTTTTCCCAGCTGTTGGGCGATTTTGCGGCCAAGCGGGATAAGGGGAGAGCGGACCCCGCGCATTTGCAGTCCAACACGCTGGGGAATGGGAACGGTTTCCACCCCGGGAATTTTCCCTCCTCTCTCACCCCAGTGTCATCCTCTGGAGGGGGCTGAAAGGCAGACCAGGGGGCGCCTTCTCTACGCCTCCTGGGAGCCAGCGCTGAAGGCGGGAGCAGGCTGGAGGACCGACAGACACCGGGTGAGGAGCTGGGCTCGGGGTGATGGGAACTACGGGGTGATGAGTCCTCCAGAGACGCCTGACTGGAGGATCTGTGGTGCATGCGTTTGCCCAGGTCGCGTCCCTGAGTGGTAGAGCTGCGCTACCTCCCCGCACCCACCCCGCCCGTTGTGTCCCCTTCACGGCAGTTTGGTTTAGACCTGCTTGCCCGGTCTTTGTTAGGCGGTTTGGTTGGAGAAAGCTGCTACTTTCGTGGGTGGCCCGGGGCGGCTCGGTGTTGGGAGTGGACACAGGGCGGAGGGCGGTATTGCAGGAATCCGGGCAGCCGGGGCGGGGTGGGCAGAGCATTGGTGGCCGCGGTTGACTGGGTTACAGGTAGGAGGGCAGGCGTCCCAGACCTTACAGGAGGAGAGGCTCCGGGTGTCTCCAAGCGTCAGTGCCACCGCGCCCCCGCCGCTGGAGCTCAGGGGCTCAGCATGCCAGGCTCCACGGCAGTATAGGTGGGTGGGTGTGTATGTTAGCTCGAGAGGGCGGGGGGCGACCTTCGCTACCAGGGTTAGTTGTCTGCTGTGCGTGTCTGTGTGTGCGCGTTTGTGCGCTCTGGGAATGGCCGGGCGATATTTGCGCGGATGGCAGAGCTGTTGCTACTTAAGCTGAGCTTGCTTATTGAAATCACCTGGGATCCTCTAAACTGGAAAATCTGGTTTGAGGAGGCCACGGGGACCCCATAGGAGTATCGGGGAAGCCCCACAGTTGTCCCCTTTCCCCCAGAGAGGAGCACCTCCGCTAGATGCGTGCAGCGCGTGAGAATCCCTGGTGCAGCGCTCCGACTCACCCCAGATTGGAGGATCAAGGGATAGAGTAATCATCTCTTCGGTTTACTGAAACAATTGAGTCAAGCCAGCATAACCCCTTGTGCCTGGAATTCTCTGGCCACTTCACTCGCCCCGGTAGAAACGTGTGCTGCTTTATTTATGGCCAGAGATATCAGAGCAATTGGGCTAACTCGAGGCGTGCAAGCCACCTCTGGGTGTCTCCTCCTTGTGCCTGTGTGTGCTCCTGCCTGCGGTAGTTAGAGCACGTTGTAAACAACGGTGTTAGCAGTCCTGCCAGAGTCTCCTTTCCACCAAACCTAGTGGTGCCTGTTGTGTTTACTTTCTTGGGTGGATTACTCATTAGGAAGTATAAGCCTTCTTGCACCTCTGCTGTTACATCCTTCCAGCCAGCTGCTGGGGAAATGAGGAGAAGCATAGACTCTGGCAGGAAGGAAAAATTGCCTTCTGTGTTTTGCTCTGAAGTAAATAGACAGTCTGCTAATTTAGTGTCATATGGGTTAGCAACACTAGTTAAATGTCATTTTAGAGTCTATAAAGAAACACTTCTTGAGTAATTTTAATTAGGAGAATATTTTTTTATTTCCCTATTAGGTTAAACAGAGTACACCAGATTTCCCTGGTATATTTTTAAATATGAAATGATACTAAATGACCTGGAGTTCTAGCGCCCAGTTTGTTTGTGGATTACAGATAGAATCATCAGTTCTTTTACAGTATCACGGAAGGGATTTTCAGATAATTTGTATAGGAATTAAAAAGATACTTGTTTTAAAGTATCTCTCAGCTTTGTTTCACTTTTTTTTTTTGTAACCAAAGCAAGGGTTAAAACTATACAAAGATAAACAATTTTTAAAAGTTGAAACTGCTTTTCAGTTTCAATAATTAAAAGGTATTAAATTCCTTAGTTGTAGGTTAGCTCTGACTGCTTTGGTGTTTGTTGCCAATGGCTATGCTTTATTTTGTTTTAAAAAGTATAGCACTGTAAATGTAAAAGGGTACTTTGGTACTATAATTTCTAGATTTTCTAATATCTTGAAAATGCTTAGGTTAAAAAAAAGGAGTACAGACTCATTGATATCTGATTTTAAGTTATTTTTTTTTTTTATGTGATACTGCTGGTAGTGGTCATCTTAAGAGAAAACTTAGAGAATTGTGATTTAATTCATGAGAATCTAGCTTCATATAATTGTTTCATTTCTACAGGATATGTATTAAAGTCTACACTTGCAAATATTTCTGAAGATTAAAGCATACTTGTCCTCTCATTTTGGAAGATCTAATCACCATGATTCCCAGTTCTTACATTAGAAGATTTGATCAGATCTGTTCTTTGTTTCCTAGCAGCATGTGTTTCCTAGCAGTCATACATTCCACAGGTCCTGATGTCATTAGAACTGTGTCTGTCAGTGTATTGTGCTGTCTTTAGCTGAAGGTGAATGTGTCAGAGTGCTTGAATGCCATTCATTAGCACTTTATCACTGAATATTCAATAACCTGCTCCATTGATGTATATGGTTAACTGGACTATTTCTATGAACTCGGGGTAGAAGGAATGTTTAGTATAAAGGTTTATGTGAACTATATCCATTTTTTAGAAAGACATGTTAGGCTGCATCAGGCATCATTGGCCTGGAGTGATAAGCCCACATGTGTTTTGCCTGATGGAGAATTGCTTTTGATGTCTTCTTTTAAGTTGCTTGGTGTGATTATCCTTCAAGTTGAGAGTGCTCTCAAAATATGAATGGAGGGTCTTTTAGAAATGATTTTCTTCATAATGATCTTCTTACATTTTGGAGATTTAACTATTCCTTTCACTAGGAATAATAGTATGAGAATTACTAGTTCCAGCTATTGTGCCTGGCATTGTTTCTACCAATTAGGAAAGGCAAAATTTTGATAAACTTGATTTACGTTTGGTGAGCAATAGCCAAGGAAATCCTCAATAGAAGACAAAAAAAAAAAAAATACACACACACACACAAACCTAAAAAGTTAGTCAAATAATATACACAATGCTAGACTGAATTGTTTTTAAAATTTTATTTGGACCACTTTAACCATTGGCTAAAACTCTCTTTGAAAAGGGCTACTACTTATGAGTGGCAGTTGCTTTTAGAAATGGGGCATTTTATTTTTCGTCCGGAATTCAGTAAGGAAAACTGATTTTGATTTTTGTGTTTAAGAATAAAAAGTGTTTTTGAGAAATGCTATTTAGCCTTAATTTAGCATGGTATGAATGGCTAGAGCAGTTGGAGTTAAATGCTCTTTCCTTAAATTTCACAAATGGATATTTTCCCTTTGATTTCTTAGATTTGCATTACATTCAAAATATGCATTTGCTCACATGGGGAGGAACCCTAAAGACAAAAGCTGTATTGTAATTTAGCATTTGTTTGCCTGCAAGGACATATTTATGCTTAGATTACTATTACATTTATGTCTTTTTCTTTTATGCAAATGTGTTTCTTTATGGAATATCCTATTTTATAATAAAATGTAAAATATTCAAATATGAGTAAGGTCCTTCTGACATTTTCTCTTTGTTATCTGTGTGTGTGTGTGTGTGTATTTAGAGTTGTCTATCAGTGGGGAGAAAAATCCAGATTTTCATTCATTGAGATTTTGATATTGCTGTTTATTGGCTACTTTGAGAAAGTAAGTATGCCTCTTGATAGCATTTATGAGTCCTAAGATATGTGTATTTTCCCCAAATATTTTAATGTCATTACAGTGCTCTAAGTGTCTATGTGGTCCAATTAATTAATCCTACTACTGCATAAGTAACCAGGTGTAATTTTGTTTTTAGAATTGTGACATGCTTATATATTCACAAATACAAAATATATTTAAAAAATTAGCATTACTACTCTGAAGCAATCGAACTTTTCCATTTGTTTTATGAAGTGGGTGAAAAGGGAGAGTTCTTTCTATATTTGATCATAACAGATTCTGTAAATCTTAATAATTTATGTATTGCTTATGTCTCATTGACACTGAAAACAAGAATTTAACATGAATGAATTTCTTCATAAAAGTGAGTACTTATATTAGAAGAAGTTCATATTTGGTCCATATTATTTGAGAATATTGTTGGTGGTAATCTTTTTTTTGCGTGTGAAAATTATCTCTGGGATGGAAAAATAAGTCACCCAATTAAATATTTCTGTCTGGTAAAACTTCTATGTCAGTTATTTTGTAGAGCAGATGATCTTTCTTCTCAAAGTGTATTCTGGGGAAACCTGTGGGTTTCTGAGACCCTTTCAGAGGATCTGTTAAGAGGAAACATTTTTATAATAATGCTAAGATGTTATTTGCCTTTCACTCTCATACATTACCAAGTGCATAATATGTGATGACATCATTGCTCTGATGACATATGGCAAGTATGCTCGTGCATTCTTGTTTAAAATTTTTCCCAGTTTAACTGTTGACTGTTAATAAATATCAACACAACCCAGAGCTGCTTTAGGTCATCAGTTTTTAAGCATGTAAAAGGGTCCTGGGACCAGAGAGTCTCACAGTCCCTGACAATTGATTTTTCTAAAATCTGCTTTCTTATATGCACAAGTGTCACCTCATCTGACCATACAGGGAGGCATCTAGACTGAGAAAACAAGTGGATTGTCCAAGCTTTAATAACAAGACACGAGCATGATGGAAATTTTTATTTATTATTTGACATTATCTTTATTTTTTTCCCAAAATGGAAAGCTTGTTTTTAATTTTTTTGGTTCAGAGTTAGTGAAATGGAAACTTTAAAGCTACAAGGTCTCCAGCTTGATCTGCTGACAGTAGCAAAAGAGCTACTGGGAAAAATTAAAATCTAGGCCCTAGGTCTTGATATTCTGATATCTGGAGAGAGAGAATGGTGTGGTGACAAAAAGAAGGGACTCTGTGGCGTGTTTGCTTAGGTTTGATAAATTTTTTGACTTTGGACAAGATACCATATTTCTCTATGCTTCAATTTCCTAATATGTTTTAATGGGTGTAACAGTTGTACTTAATTCATAGATTGTTGTGAAGATTTAATGAGAAAATTTAAAGTACTTAAAACAGGTATGGGCACACAATAATATGTATGCAACTCTTTGCTGCTGCTGCTGCTGCTGTTGTTGATTATTATTATTATTATTGTTATTATTAACTAGATCTCCTAGTTAATAATAACAATAATAGGGCCCCAGGAAACACTAATCAACTCCTCTTGTGATTCATATATGTAGTTATGTTTTGCCTCATTGCTTTAGAGCATGCCTTAAAATGCTTTAAATTTGAAAATTTTATATGAAAGATAATTTTGACTTTATTTTATATTCCTACTTTAAAAATCATGAAGAGTTATTGGGACTTTTTTTATGGTATGAATTAATAAAATACCTTTCTTAGCTTGGGCTAAGTCTGTAGTTGGTTAGAGTATGAATGCCCAATTAAAACTAGATTTCAAAGACCCTAATTGAATATTTATGTATCTTGGGAATTATTAGAGAGGAAATCACTTTTCTGAAGTGATATCAAGACGACTCAGTACACTCTTAGTCTGTTAATCACTATCTAAGCATCACAACAGGCCATTTTCAGTGAAAAGGATCCATGGGGTAATTATATACTATAGTTCAATTTGTTTGTGAGTGGTAATATGCCTAATGAGTAACAGAAGCTCCACATAGAGATTAGTTTTACTAGATGCTTAAGTTAAACTGGTAAACTGTAATACTTCTGAAAGGCTGTTAATGTCTATTTGAAAAATTTACAGGTATATTTATACATTAAAAAAAAATATATATATATATGTATATTCCCTGACTAGTTTAATATTTCCCTTATGCCTGTCACTATGAAATTAGTAGAGCAGTACTTATCTTTTCTTGTACTTTGGTTAATTCTGATTTATATTTGTAGAAACAAAATTATACTCCTCAGATGAGCATAGCTGGGCGCTGTCTCTGATTATGAACTTCTCAGAAATGGCCTTTGGGATAAGAGACTTGAATACAATCCCAGTTCTACAACTTTCTAGCTCTTTTATCTCTCTGTTAAAAAAAAAAAAAAAAGTAATGACATCTACATTGCTGATTTGGAGTGAGCAATAGGAAGTAAATAGAAAAGTACCTGATAGACTGTGCATTTAATGGATAGTAGCTGACATTGTTAATAATAGTATTAGTAGAAATGTCCTTAGCTACCATTAAAATTTTAGCTAAATCATATATTATTTTCTTAATTGCAGAGTTCTTGATGAGCTATCAAAATTAGTAGCATTTATTGAAGCAGTAGAGAAAAGTTTCACATGTCTTTTTGTGTTTCCTCTGTTCTTTCCCTCTCTTTTCTAACCTTTTATTAAGTACCTATTTCTGAACTTTTCCTCTTAATCTTAAAACGTTATACTCTAATAATTCCCCACCACAAATCATAATCCTGACAGGAAAATATTTTTGACAGCCACCAAGTACAGTGTCTGAAGATTAACTTTAAATCATGTATAAAATGAAAGTAGCAATTTAACTTAAGACATTTTAAGTTAGACTCTTGATCATCTTTTCACATGGTGTCAGCAGCTCTTTAAGCTTTAACTACATCAGAATTTTCTACAATGTTGTCATCAAATCAAGACATCATAAACTTCTAAGATTTAAGAATGCCTATACTTTTAAAAGATTTACAATCCCAGAGTTTAAGTCCTTATAAGATTGCTATAAATGCAGATGAAACCTTGAAACTGAGATCTTAAGTTGCTTTAAAGACTATAAGTATGGAAAAGGTAATAAATAAGTCCAAATTTTAGAATTAACATCTGTATTTCAGTGACAATTGCCAATAAGAGGTCTTACAATGTGTGACTTTTACCTATTATTATTCAACATTTATTTTCAAACAGA